CTGCTGGTGCCAGAATAGTCAACAGCTCTGGGGTGGCTTGTCCAGGCCAAGTGCATTGCACAGGCAGAATGCTCCAAGTGGCTCCTTCATTCTGACCCTTCTGGGCTTGTTCTAGGGAATATGCAGGTTTTGTTTTTGAGGGGAGGGCTCAGATGGGTTTCAGCTTGAGGATGTTTGTTGGGCACCTGAACCAGTGCAGTAATTTGGCTCACTTCTTAATAGCTGGAATGTCAAATTTCACCATATGCATAGTCTGCATTGGTGCTAGCACACACTCTACAGGACAGCAAACCCAAGTAACTTGTTTGACAGGTCCTCTTGTCACCAGGAATGTTGACGAGACCCTACCCTTGCTCCTGTCAGAGCTGTATGATGCATCATTCCAGCACAACCTAGCAAGATGTGGTGTAATGGCTTGTTTAATCCAGCAGTATGAGTTCAAAGAAATGGGGGCTAGTAGGGAACAAAACATGACAGTCGTGTAATGCAAGTGTTGGGGGCAAGAGGAAACCATCATGACGTATCTCTCATTGATGCAATGAGAATAATTTATTGGTTTTTGTCTATTAACTTTTTAAAAGTTTTAAATAAAATAACTGGTCTGTCTTTCTCGTTTCTTCAGTTGAACAGCTGTATGAGTGTAAATCAGGTAGAACACATGGCTGGAGAGCTTTACAGGGACTGCCAGGGGAGCAGCCTCTGCATCCCACATTGCCTCGGAGGGGGATTTAATTACCAGCTTTGACCTTTTAACTCCAAATAGCTGAAACATAAACCTGAGACAGTAGCTTAGCTCAGAGGTATTGCTCATCACCCCCAGAAACACGTGCAAGAACTGCCATTTACAGAGGGGCTGTGGATGCTGGCACACTGGGAGTGACAGAGCTGTGTCCCGTCCTACTGGGTGGAACAGGAGCAGTGACACAAGCAAGTAAGTGGACTATTCTGTGCAGTTTTATTTGTGTGTGTGTGTACACAGCCTCTCCCACACCTGCCCTTCTACACCCCAGTAACAAGTTCCTGCAGACAGCCAGAGGCCACCCTCCTCCTCTTTGCACAGGTACAGAAATTAACATCTTCAGTTGCACTTAAGGGCAGGGGGAGGGAAGTATGAAATCTAAAATTAAGAACATAATTTCACAGTATTCTGACTTCCTGTCTCAAACATTTTAAGACTATTTGAGTTTTAAGTAGCATAATCCTATGGTGGTGTGCACACACCCAAACAATGCATGGAGTTGTGTAAGGACCAAGTAATGACTGGCTGTGGTATCACAGCCCAGCTGCTTGCACTGCGCCCCACACTAAACACAGCGTGATGTGTGTAATTGTTTATTTCCTAATAGAAAGTGGGGTAATTTTACTATAACATTGTGGCTAAGTAAAAACCAAACCCCACAACTAATCTTTTGCACCTTTAAAAGTGAGCTTTTGGCCAAGAGAAACAACTCAAGCACTGTCAATCTATCTGATTTCAAGTGTTGCCACAGGCTCAGTGTGGAAGAGCACAATTATGAATAAGCAAATTGCTACATAGATGGCTATTTATTTATTTTAATAGCTGAAGTAGGTATTGTTAGAAAAATGACCTCTTAAGATGCAGTACAACTGGACTAAATGCGCATTAGATAAGACAGGTAAAAAAAATACTCTCTTGACCAAACCAAACCAAAATTACAAAGTGAAAGGCGGAGGGGGTTGTGTCTGTCTGCATGTACATACCAGTAATACACATATTTAAATATTAAAAGAAATCAAAACATAATACAGGTAAAAGGGAAGAAGTACAAGTGTTTGTATCCATCTCTGCAGCAAGCTTGTCAAAAGGGCAATGGCTGGAGAAGGGCCAGGGTAGATGACAGCAGCTGTGGCCCTTCACCCCAGGAATTTGGCTTTCACAGGGGATCAGGCAATTGACTCATTATCTGAATCATTTCTCCAGAATGACAAAAACATCATTTCCATTAAATTACTAAAAAAAGATAAAATAAAAATCCCCAAACCCAGTAGGAATTTGTAACCTATAGAAGTTGTTTGTGGCCACAGAGCCTACTGCAGTGAAAAAACAGACTGAAAAGAACCGTGGGGAAGAGTCAGTTGATGATGATGTCCCTTGTAGTGCAGCAAGACATGGTTGTGGGGTTCTTAAAATGTCTCTTAAAGAATGACATCCACCACACCCCCTCCCACCCCAGTTCCGTGTCAGGCATCTCACTGACCAGCTGTGTCAAGTAGCTCGCTCTAATGCCCAGCTCTCTGGAAATGGGCTTCGTTATAAAGGAAAAGAGCTTTTAAAAAATCTTTTAAAGAATAATTTCTAAAACAGGAATGCTCTCCCCCAGTGGAGAGCTGTTGCACCAAATAATCCAACTGAGACACATTAAAACATGTTTTGTTCAGAAAGCCCAGAAGGAAAACTACTTTACGTGCCCATAGTAAGTGGATGCCACTTTTTTTTTAAACTTCTAAAAGAACGAAAGTGTAATTAAAAAAATATGTTACAAAAGGCACTATTAAGCTTGCAGGAGTGTTAAGTGCAGTTCTGTAGGTCTGTACCAAATCACAACCCTCCTGCCGGGTGCACCCTTGTGTCCGTGTGGCAGTGTTCGCACCAGCATCGCACTGCCCGAGCTCTGGACTCACATCCTCACGTCCAGCCTCAGCCTTGGGGTGGTTGGGGCTCAGCCCCTCTGTGCTGCCCCATTCTGTCTCTTTGGTGCTACCCCTGGCTTAACAGCCACCAAGGCGGGTCCGTGCCTCCCACCACTTACCATGCAGCACCAATGACTCCAAACCCATCCCTTTTACCAGCACTGCCTTGGCAGACTTCACTTTTCTGATCAGATTTAAATTGTAACAATAGGATTTTTTCCTTTACCTTGAGCTGTCAACACTAGAGCTCTCTGTTTCAAGCAACGTTACAACCATTAAGCTTGATAATGGATATTGTCTTCAGTTCTGAAAAGCATTTGTCAGTCTTGGTACTGCACTGTCGCAACAAGTCAGTCTCATAGAAGGCTAAAGAATAGAATTATTGACTGCTGTAACAAAAATAATTGATTACCACATCAAGCCTGGAGCCATCCTAAAAGCTTGGATTTCAATAAAAATATTTTTAGTCCTTATTCCTATCTCTCTTTACAGTTGGGAAGTAAGTTATGGGCCACTGGCCACCACCCCAAGACAGGACAAACTAGACCATTACAGTATCTTGCTGGTAAATTTGCTGTAATTATTGCTGATGTGCTTTTGTGTAACAGCTATTAAAACCTGCTAATGTTAGAAGCTTCTGTGGGAAAAAGAACCAGCTAATCTTTGTATTTATTTGTTTTTCTAATCTTCAAGCTAAGATGTAAAGGTATACCAGTGATCTGTAGTGCCTGTTGCCAAAGCACTTGGTGTATCACGGTGGTTTTAACAGCTTCAGAACAAGCAAAGACTCCACATTTCTGCATAAAGTCGTGCATAGCTACACCCCGTCTATAGAAGCGTGTGTGTGTGTGTGTGTGTGTGTCCCCCCAACTGTCTAGACTAAACTGCTGGCTGTGAACACTTACTTACTGTTTGTTCGTGCACAGGGTTTCATATCCCTACTCAGCACTGGAATGTTGTCATTTTGTTACTCAGGCTTTGCTTTAGGCTTTTGTCTTTGAGCATCCCCCTGCAAGTGGAAGAACATTTCACTTCTTGCCCTCACTTTGCTCTCCTATGATGTGTGTTCACTGGGGCTGTGCCTCCCCCAGCTCAGCCCAGCCCAGCAGCAGCTCTGCAGCCAAGGGCCGATGGGTTCATTTCTAGGTGAAGGTTTGGGCACTGCTTCACTGGCAACAAGGGTTAATTCACAGCTACTGGACAAGTGCACTGTCACTACTCGCGCATCACCAGTAATCTATCTCCTATATGGCATAAAGACATAGATTCTTCTTTTTTTTTTTTTTAACATACAGTTGTCCTCAATTGAGGAAAAATAAATAGCCAAGTACAAACCTCATGTCACTTTAGTAACATTGTAGTATTTCCTCCACTCTAACAAAGAAAATATAACTGAAGTCCCGGGAAGATGAGTTGTGTTTTAGTGGGCAGGAGGCTCTGAAAAGTAGCGCAGCTTCAGCAGAGCGTGGTTGACACAAGCTGGACTGTAGCGCCCAGGACTCCCGGGGTCTGGAGAGAATGAGGCCACATTG